GCCGATTTTCTCGCGGCTGTGTTTGATACCCAACGGATAGATTCACTCTATCTTTTCCGCGCCAAAAGTTTTTTTGGGCCCCGCCGCCTAAGTCCATATAAGGACCACCCGCCCCTCGTCTCTCACTTCTCCTACACACACCTCCACCCTCCATCACAATGGCGCCTGCTGCTTCGCACAATGCCAAGGACGTCAAGTCCGAGAACTCCAAGGCGTTCAAGGCGCTCGAGGAGATGATGCAGAAGTTGACCGTCTCCAAGGCCCAGGACGAGATCAACGCCTCTGCCCAGGCCATTGCCACCTTCATCAACGGTGACATTGAGGAGGCTGACGCTCCCACCCAGTATGTCGACACCATCTGGTTTGCCCCTGACTTTCAGTACCACTGTTGCTAACAAACTTTCCAGCGCTGTCTCGGTGCTCAAGAAGCAACTTGCCAGCAAGAAGGATGCTGTCGCCCGTGAGCGTGCCCTTGACGCCATCCGTGCTATTGCCCAGCACGCCCACGTCTCCGCCGCCGTCGAGCCCTACCTCGTTTCCCTCCTTCCCGACGTGCTGGCCGCTGTCGGTGACAAGATCACTGCCGTCAAGGTTGCCGCCCAGACTGCCGCCGAGGCCATCGTCTCTGCTGCCAACCCCAACGCCGTCAAGGCCATCATCCCTCACATCATCAAGTCGCTCGAGACCGCACAAAAATGGCCCGAGAAGATGTGCGACCTCAAGTGCATTGAGGCACTCACCAAGAGCGCTCCTGCACAGATGGCCTTCCGTGTCCCTGACCTGATTCCCGTCATCTCTGGAGCCATGTGGGACACCAAGCCTGAAGTCAAGAAGGCTGCCTACGTCACCATGGAGACTCTCTGCTCCTTGATCTCCAACAAGGATATCGAGCGCTTCATTCCCGAGCTCATCAAGTGTATCGCTAAGCCTGAGAACGTCCCCGAGACCGTTCACTTGCTCGGTGCCACCACTTTCGTCACTGACGTCCACGAGCCTACTCTTGCCATCATGGTTCCCCTTCTCGAGCGTGGTCTCGTTGAGCGTGAGACTGCCATCAAGCGAAAGTCTGCCGTCATCATCGACAACATGTGCAAGCTTGTCGAGGACCCTCAGATTGTTGCCGCTTTCTTGCCCCGTCTCATGCCCGCGCTTGAGAAGAACTACGACAACTTGGCTGACCCTGAGGCCCGTGAGAAGACCCGCCAGGGTCTCGACACCCTCATCCGTGTCGGTGCTGTCCAAAACGGCAAGATCCCCGAGCTCGAGAAGTCTGGTGACATTGCCACCATCGCCGGCCACCTCAAGGCTGTCCTTCCTTCTTCAGCCAAGGTTGACGAGCGCTTCGAGCCTGTCGTCAACTACATTGGTGCCATTGGTGGCCAACTGATCGACGAGAAGGACTACGAGCCTCTCAACTGGCAGGCAAACGCCGGTCCCTTCGTTGCCGTCCTTGTCGGTGACGAGGCCTCCAAGGACGTCACTGAGAACCTCCGCAAGAGGTCTCTCCCTGGTGCCGCCGCTGAGGAGGCCACCGAGCCCGATGAGGAGGAGGGCGAGGACCTCTGCAACTGCACATTCAACTTGGCCTACGGTGCTAAGATTCTGCTTAACCAGACTCACCTTCGTCTGAAGCGTGGTCAGCGTTACGGTCTTCTCGGACCCAACGGTTCCGGAAAGACCACTCTCATGCGTGCCATCAACAACGAGCAGGTCGAGGGTTTCCCCAAGCAGAACGAGGTCAAGACTGTCTACGTCGAGCACGACTTGGACTCTGCTGACACTGAGATGACTGTCATTGGCTGGACCATGAACAAGCTTAAGTCTGTCGGTATCGATAAGCCCGAGGAGGAGGTCACCAAGACCCTCAACGAGTTCGGCTTCACTGACGGCATGTACAACGGACCCATTGGTGCCCTCTCTGGTGGATGGAAGATGAAGCTCGCTCTCGCTCGTGCCGTCTTCGAGGAGCCCGATATCCTTCTGCTTGACGAGCCCACCAACCACTTGGACGTCAAGAACGTCAAGTGGCTCGAGGACTACCTCACCAGCTCTCCTTGCACATCCATTGTCATCTCCCACGACAGCAAGTTCTTGAACAATGTCATCCAGCACGTCATCCACTACGAGCGCTTCAAGCTCAAGCGTTACAAGGGTAACCTTGACGACTTCGTCAAGCGTGTGCCCTCTGCCAAGTCCTACCACGAGCTGTCCGCTTCCGACATGGAGTTCAAGTTCCCCGAGCCCGGTTTCCTTGAGGGTGTCAAGACCAAGGCCAAGGCTATCCTCCGTGCTACCAACATGAGCTTCCAGTACGAGGGTACCTCCAAGCCCCAGATTGAGGACATTACCTTCCAGTGCTCTCTCGGATCCCGTATTGCTGTCATTGGTCCCAACGGTGCCGGAAAGTCCACCCTTGTCAACGTCTTGACCGGTGAGCTTGTCCCAACCAAGGGTGAGATCTACCACCACGAGAACATCCGTATTGCCTACATCAAGCAGCACGCTTTCGCCCACATTGACCACCACCTCGACAAGACTCCTTCCGAGTACATTCAATGGCGTTTCCAGACTGGTGAGGACCGTGAGACCATGGACCGCGCCAACAAGATCGTCACCGAGGAGGATGAGAAGGCCATGGACAAGATCTACAAGATCGATGGTACCGAGCGCCGTGTCATTGGTATCCACTCCCGCAGAAAGTTCAAGAACTCTTACGAGTACGAGTGTTCGTTCGCTCTCGGTGAGAACATCGGCATGAAGAACGAGCGCTGGACACCCATGATGACTGCCGACAACGCCTGGATTCCACGTAGCGAGATCATGGCTTCCCACGCCAAGATGGTTGCCGAGGTTGACCAGAAGGAGGCTCTCGCCAGCGGTCAGTTCCGTCCTCTGGTCCGTAAGGAGATTGAGGCTCACTGCGCCAACTTCGGTCTCGACGCTGAGCTTGTTTCTCACTCCCGTATGCGCGGTCTGTCTGGTGGTCAGCGTGTCAAGGTCGTCCTCGCTGCCTGCTCATGGCAACGCCCCCACTTGATCGTCCTCGACGAGCCTACTAACTACCTCGACCGTGACTCCCTTGGTGCCCTGTCCAAGGCCATCAAGACCTTCGAGGGTGGTGTCATCATCATCACTCACTCCGCCGAGTTCACCGCCGACCTTACCGAGGAAGTCTGGGCTGTCATGGACGGACGCATGACCCCCTCCGGTCACAACTGGGTTCAAGGACAAGGTGCCGGACCTCGTCTGGCCAAGGATGAGGACCCAGATCAAGTCTCGTTCGACGCTATGGGTACGTTTGATGTTTTAAGTGTTAAAAAAGTGATTTACTGACGTTTTAATAGGTAACAAGATCGAGACTGCCAAGAAGAAGGTCAAGCTCAGCTCCAGCGAAATGCGCAAGAAGAAGAAGGAGAGGATGGCCCGCCGCAAGCGTGGTGAGGAGGTCTTCTCTGACGAGGACGACTAGATCATGCCGCCGGTATAAAAGTCGTTTTTCTTTAGTTTGGTTCATGTGGTTCATGGTGCATGTCGGCTCAGTTGGTCGGCCTTTTCATGATGATAATGCGGTACTAGTCTACGGATTATGGTTCATGCTCGGCGTCTGGTTATCAAAATGTTCACGAATGCATCTTGCGGGTACCTCACTCGTAGAAGATAGAAATAGATTCCCATCACTTCAATCAGTTCACCAATACCTTGAAGCTGCGTCACCATGTGTTTGTGTACATGTATGATGTTCACATTGTAGCGAAGGTGGGTTGTTATAACATGGTCTTACTATGGGGTTCGGCTTCTTTACTATGCGTATGGGTCATTTGCTGCTTAGACGTTCACTCCTTGCTTTTAAGTTATTAAGTTCTTGTGTCATATCCACCTGTAATAACCCAAAACCAAGAGACGTAGGCAAAATCTTGGCCTATACGCAATAAAAGGTAGTTTAGAATACGATCAAAGACGAAATTTAAGTAAATTTAAATGTTTTTAAATTCTAAACAATGTATGTATTTCTTCCTTTTTGCAGTGAATTCACTTACGGTACCTTGGAATACCGCCGTAGCTTGCAAGGCTAACATGTCTACCTCTCGAGCACCCTGTATTTCACAGCATTTCCAAGACGGAAGATATGACTAAATCTTTTCCAATAATAATTATATGTATATGAAAGAATAGCATAGTATCGTAACACCTAATCTCCTCGTTCAATGCTCACGATACAATTTGAGAGTGAAGATCATGTGCTGGTTTTGTGGAGCGGATGGTTTTGGGGGTTAGAGACATCGGGTTGGGATGATGATGAAGGATTGAGAGGTTTGGTGTGGAGGCGGATTTGTGTCGGTTATTGAGATGGGATGGTATTGGAAGGTCTTGCCTGGGGGTTTGGAGGATTTTGGAAAGTGTGTTGGGGAGGCGGGATGGTACCGCGCGTCTATGGCATGAAACAATGGGGTGGATGCAAATGTTCGTCCGGACATGCCGTACAGACCCACAAGAATACCGGCCGGCAAGAGGATGACCAGCGTTATTTGCTTTCTTAAAAAGTGCAATTTAGAGCCTGAAACCCCGGCTGACGATTATAGTCATACTCCAGTATTTACCCAATACAATGGCATTGTCCGTTCTAAGTATTCTCAGCTGCTGAGAGAAAAGAACGTCATGACTGGGTTCGTGCTGCATCCATCGGCCTGACCACCGGCCGTATCCATTCCTAGGCCACCCGACTTTGCACAGCTGAGCCTCGAAGACCCATGCACTTTCCGCTGGGCATCAGTGACTTACCATGCACCATGTGGCGCCCGCAATCAGCACTATATGCGAACGTTTCCTATTTCAAGCGCGCGTGTGATGTCGCAATCCCACTGGTCCAGCTGCTCTCATCTCATCTTGCCCCTCCCCCGCCTTCAGCATAAGAAAGCCGTCTGCCGGTAGCTGCCTTACTGTTCAGAGAAAACAAAACTTTATACCTTGAACCTTTGAACTGTTTATATACACATATAAACATGTCAAGTCACGACTACTACGGGCAGGGCCAAGGCCAGGGCCAACAAGGCTATGGCCAAAACTATGAAGGCACCAGCCAGCGACAATGGGGTTCGGCAGACCACAACCAAGGCTACCCTCCTCAGCCTCAGGGCTATGGACAACCGCAGCACGATCAATACGGCCAAGCCAGCCACAGTCCCTATCCTCAAGGACAGGTTAGTGTATTTGCGCAACTCATCCCATCCGTTTTCGGCTGCTAAAAGTTTTCCAGAGCCAGTACCCTCCCCCTGCGCATGATTCTTATTCAGCGCCTCCTCAAAGTGGATATGGCGCTCCACAGGGCCAGTATCAGCAAGGATACGACCAGAACCAGCAAGCCTTTGACCAGAATCGAGACCATTCCTACATGTCATCCGGGCATCAACCTCCTCCCTATCACGATCCCAGCCAGCAATATGGAGCGCATCAATCACAAGGCTATGACAATCCAGCACACAACCAACCCGGTGCCGAAGGGGAGCGCGGACTTGGCTCGACTCTTATAGGGGGTGCAGGAGGCGCATTCGCAGGTCACCAACTTGGTGGTGGAACACTTGGTACTTTAGGAGGGGCGCTTTTGGGAGCTGTTGGCGCGAACATCATCTCTGACAAGTACGTTGAATGAACTTCCGTTTTCGTCGCAAAAACTTACTAACTCTTTAAAAAAAGGAAAGAGAAGAAGCACAAGAAGCACAAGCACAAGAAGAGTCATGACTCTCATCATGGATCGCATCATTCTCACCACTCGCACCATCACTCCTCTGATCATGGCCATAGTCACAGGAGCCACAGCAGGAGCCATAGCAGAAGTCGCCGCAGGAGTCACAGCAGAGGCAAGAGGAGCAGTTCTAGTTCAAGCAGCAGTAGCTCAGACTAGACTTTGAGCATGTACAGGGATACCCTTTTAGGTAGACGCAACGTGATATCCTTTGGCACCAGCTTTGATGCGTTTTGATTAGTCCCAATTATGTTACTTTGCGACTACTACGTAGTAATAGTGGCAAGAACGAATCCTAGTTTTTTTTTTTTAAAAAAAAATAATAATATCAGATTGTGTTTCTCGTTGTTCGCAAATCATGTATGCTTTGAAGCGCCATTAGGTTTTCCTGCTCAACTCATACATCGCAGCAAGCTGTAATGTTCAAACATATGACACTCAAGTGATATTGAATGGACAATCTTTCCAGCCCATGTCCAAAAAATTAGGTATGTGTCCATGCTCGTCCATAGGCTTCGACAGTGGATCCGTCTGAACCCTGACTTTAGCCAAAACAGGCTAAGCGTATTGCAGCCCTTTTTCTCCACCGAGTTACTCATCGCCGCCGCAAATTCCAAAATAGCCCCGCAACCGCCCTTGTGAAGGTGCAGATTTAGTCTGCCTGGTCATTTTTTTCCAGTATCGCAAAAATATCTAGGCGACTTTCCAAATCAACCCGCAGCATCACAATCATGGCCGACGTATTTTTGAGTTTCTTCCGGAGTTCCTTGCCCGATGAACTTGCGGCGGTAATCGAGAATACCATCAAGGCGACCGAATCAGGGGACTTTCAGTCTGTGCTTCAATCACCGGAAGCGCAGATATTACTAGGCAACCAGGACGATGAGACCACCAAAAATGTCAAGAGGAGCGATTTTGGACTGTGGAGCGACTACATTTTCCATCGCCTGGGGTTAATATTGTCAAAGCGAAAGGAAGAAGAGTCAACTCCCGTAAACGAAACTGCGCTTTATAGACAGCACGTCTACTTCTTGATTGCAGTCGCAGCGTTGCATGCGTTCCTACAATCGAATGTTACGGGACCACCACTACCTTTCAAATCGGCTGAAGTGCTGCTACCGAAGGATATCGCAGGTGACGACAAAGCCCTGGCTAAAACGCGCGGAGAACTTGTCACATCATTGAATGCCGACGGTGTTGCAGCGTATAGACTTACTCCCAATATCGAACTGCTTTGCTTAGCGGACAACATTCTCATCAGCCCTCCTATCCAAAAGAACATTCCAGTCTCAATATGGGCCAGGCTAAGGACCAACTTCATCCATCAAAGACTGCTCAGTGAGGCCGCACCAAGTCTGCAAGATGCAATCTACGACAATCTCAAGGGTGTAGAAGACTTGATCCAGAACTCAGGGAAGGTCAACGAAATCAAGGATTTGCACACCACATTTTTACTTGAGCGTGCGGCTATCCATACACACCACGGTCTCGATAAGAAGGCCCGAGCGGACCTCGACCAAGCAGCCTCTGAGCGCAAGTTTGAATTTGCGCTGACCGGTTTGATGGGCAAGAGAACAAAATTCCAGCAAAAAGATACTAGTCAACTGATTGTACTTGCTCGGAGCGCGGGATCAGAAGCCAGTGGTACATCGGAAGAAACTTCGAAGCCCAAGAAACTGGATCTGAACGACGATACGCTGCTCGAGTCCATATCTTTCACTAACGACGCTGTTTCCACCGAGATCAAAGACGAATCAGAAATCCCCGCATCTCTTCAGTCCATAGACCCGTCAAACCAACCACTTCTTGATCCCCTCGACTCAGTCATCATGCTCTCGCTGGCCGAGAGTATCAAGAACACCAATCCCGCGGATGGCCTTACACGCGAGCAAACAGAACCGTACGCAACACGAGTGCTTGAAGGCGGAAGTTCCAACTGGCAGGTTTACACTCAGGCTCTTCTTGTGCGTAGTCGTATCGAGGGGTATAAGCCGCGTACTATGGAGCGAGGCTTGCTACAACTTCAAGCACTTGTCGATCAAGTCATTGTGGAGACTTCGGGCGATTCTACCACAGATGCTGAGACGGGTCAGAAGGTCACTTCTTTCCTGCCGCAAGCAAAGCAGGAAGAGTCGGCGTCTGTTGAAGAGCGGCTACGCTATATCTTCCCGCTCTGCTCGCCGTCACGATGGGAACTCGAGTCCGAACTTGCAGCTCGCTGGGTTGCACTAGGTGGTCTACGATCTGCACTTGAAATCTACGAGAGACTGGAACTATGGGCTGAAGCAGCATTGTGCTATGCCGCTACTGAGAAGGAAGACCGAGCACGCAAGATTATCCGAAGACAACTTTTCCACGCCACCAACGGCGACGACGAGAATGTGGATATGGATGCAGAGAAGTGGGAAGGAGCAGAACGCGATCCTCCACCAGCCGAAGCACCACGCTACTACTGTATCCTAGGCGACATCGACAAAGACCTCTCCCTCTACGAAAAAGCCTGGGAAGTATCCGGAAAGCGCTATGCTCGCGCCCAACGCTCCCTCGGCCAACGCTACATCGCAGCCCGCGACTACGAAAAAGCAGCAGAAGCCTATTCGCTCTCCTTGAAAATCAACGCCCTCCACCACCCGGCCTGGTTCGCCCTCGGCTGCGCCCGCCTCGAGCTCCACGAATTCAAAAACGCAGTCGAAGCCTTTTCGCGCTGCGTCCAGCTCGACGACCAAGACGCGGAAGCATGGAGTAACCTTGCAGCTTCATTGCTACACCTACGCCCCAAGGTCACCGAGAGTGAAAACGGCGAAGTATCAGAAAAGCAAGTGACGAACCACCCGCGCACCGATGCACTCAAAGCTTTCAAGCGCGCAGCGACAATCAAACACGACGACTACCGCATCTGGAACAACGTGCTCGCCGTGGCTACATCGACGAGTCCGCCATCGTGGCAAGACACCATCACAGCCCAACGCCGCATCTGCGAGCTACGGGGCCAGACGGACGGCGAAAAATGCGTAGACGCCGAGATCCTCAACATGCTCGTCAAACACGTCGTTTCTTCCGAAGAAGGCTTCGATACCTCGCGCCCCGGTCTCGCACGCATGGCGAACGATCTCATTGAAAAACACGTCAAGCCGCTCATCACGGTATCCCCGCAACTCTGGATCATTCTCGCAACTCTGTACACGCATACCCAACGTCCCGCGTCGGCGCTCGAGTGCCACGAAAAGGCGTGGCGGGCCGTGACGTCGCAGCCGCGGTGGGAGTCTAGCACTGAAGCAGAATGGAATGCCGTCGTGGATATGACGGTGGATCTGGTGGATGCGTACGAGACGCTTGGGCCGCGGGAGCGGACAGAGGGCTTGAGTGCGGGGAGTGGAGAGGTGGTGGCGAAGGATTGGAAATTCAAGAGTCGCAGTGCGGTGAGGAGTGTTATGGGTAAGGGTAAGGAGAATTGGGAGGATACGGCTGGGTGGGAGAAGTTGGTGGAGAGGTTGGAGGAGTTGAAGACGAGGGAGTAGGATGTTGTACTATATGGGAGGTTAAGGGGCAAATGTTAAAAGTTAGTAGAGGGTTACAGTATTCACCAATTTCGTTCTTTTTTTTTCTTTTGCAAAGAAGCTTGATGTGTGAGAATGCTTGTGTGTGCAAAGAGGTCTTGGTCAGTTGCCAATATTTGACCTATACGGAGAGTTTATCAGATCAATTCTTTGTTTTCATACGAGCACTCGTGGTGTAGCTCTCTGTACCAAGACATCCTGATGAATCACCGGGATATACTTGATCGTTCACTGGTGTCCACGTTACGGGTGTGAACAGTAGGAACATTCGAGGGATTCGAACCAATCACTGCTTGCAGGTTGGCTTGCTGCAAGAGCCCCGCGATGGTAGTCAGCGCACATGCAATCATTCAAAACTGAACAAAAAACCTCGGTTTGACCAAGTCGACCAGTACTCCTTCAACTTCTCGTAAGAATATGCACCATTTTCTTACTTGATCTGGCAAACCTATCACAATATCGTGTATGCCGAGGTCCTAGACTGTCGCTATCTCTTCCTCGCGGCGTCAAGATGTCCCTCTCTTGTTGGTTGCGATTCAGAACGCCCACAGATGTGCATACATGTACATAGCCAAGAGAATGATCCCAACGGGCCTTGTCGTTTGAGTTTGGCCGGGTATGTGAGTGTCTGGCCCTTGTTGGCGAGAGTCGGTGTAACGAGACGCAGGAAAAACCCGAGGACCAGGTTCACGAGGGAATCTAGCTGCAAGTCGATCTCACCATAGAATTTCCGTGATATCGGACGAGTCGAGGAGTGCAAACAGCCGGCGCTAGTTAACATAACAGACGCAAGCCTTGAAACAATGGCATGTTTTTTTTTAAATCGTGTTCAGAGCCGAGACGTTGAAAATGAATGAATGAAAGGTTATTCGATCCGTGGTATGAAGAATGTTCTCTCATTCCTTAGTTGTTGCGAGGCATGTTCAGCAATCAAACTCGACCGATCAATGAAAGAAGTTAGCCAAAGCCGATGCTCATCTGTTAGCAGTAGTCCAATCACAATACTGGCCCGTACAAGAAGTAGAGCCAAGACGCTTGCATGATAATCCTGTGATGGAGAACGAAAGCGGTCGAAGTTCCGCATGGCGTAGTAGGCGTGACGATGAAAATCTTTGTGCTCAATCTGTAATACTAAGCCAGCAACCTATGGCTCAAGAGTTGCTGGGACACAAGGGGGTTGGCAAGATTGCACAAAGTGCGTTTGTGTTTGCCGGGATATGGCCAAGCTCTCATTCATCCAACAGACTGGTAGGCCTTAATGGACAAGTGGAGACAGCAATATGCAGCGGTCGAGTCAGTGGGGGCGGTCATGGTGCAATGGGCCCATGATTATATAACAGATGAGTGCAGCACATCCCCAGTATGTACTACCAACAGCAGGAAGTGTGTTTCAGATGCGAGGAGTAAGGGCCCGGTATCGTGGCAAACGGCCTCGTGGGAACAACCCTGTTGTTGGTGACGAGCTGTTCAAGCCATGTTACGTTTGCTCATACTGGGAAGGATTAGAGGGGTAATATGGAATGATCAGATAGCGGTGCACAGAGGGGGTGCTTGGAGGAGACGTGGTGCTGGCGTTAGTAGACCAGAAAGGCAGCGATGCTATCGTCAGATTGCCTAGACGTACATACATCTCTCGGTGGGTTAGCTGCAACGAGGGCACATGGCAAGGCCCTGGTCGTGTCCGAGCGCATGCAGTTGGGCACTTTGACATGCATTGCAGCAACAGGCGAGAAACAGGGAAGCAGCGTCATTGCCCGGAAGTGCGTAGTTGGTCGAGGGTAGCAAGTACCATGGTGGAAGCGCTGGAGGCTAATGGCCTGCATTTGGGTCATGGGCGGCTTACACACAGCCCCCGAAAGGCCGCTAGGGATCGGGCTGGGTCGAAAGCAGTGGGTAATGCGGCATCAGCTTTCTAAGAATACATAGAAGCCAGGCTGACCATTTTCTAGTTGGAGGGCCCTGACTGGGGCCATGGGCGCAGAAGAGAGCATGAGTGTGGTCACGGAGCAGCAGCGCAATCAGGGTGCAGACGAGGGCGTCATTTGATAGGATGGGGGGGCAGCAGCGCGATGCGAGGGCAGCTGAGGGTAGACGAGAAGGTAGACGAGAAGCGATATAGAAGCATGTGGCCAGAGTGTAAGTAAGTGAGGAGGATGCGGGGAGGGTGAGAGAGATGCAGATGAGCAAGTCAGCCTCATGGGACGGAAGGAGCGACGGGGGGGAGTTGTTGCGCTGTTCCCGATACGGCGGAATGCAAACAGAATGACGCAGCGCGCCGTGGCAGGTAGGCACGCTGGCGGGCGCGGAAGGCGCCACTGGGTGGATGTGATCAAGTCAGCTACGGCGGCGGCTGAGGGCGGCGAAGGCGGCGGCGGCGGCGACGACGACAATAACAGCAGCAATGCGCATGGTGGTAGAGAAGGTGGGTGCAACAGAGTCGGTGGACGAGCAGCAGTGCCGTGGTTGTAATTGTAGGAGCCGTTGTGGTGCCTGGCAGCGTAGGCAGATGGACAGGGATGGCAGCGATTGGCCCGTCTGCAAGCCACACCAGAAATAGACGGCTGGGCTCGCTAGACGGGTGGCAGCGGAGCCCACGGCTCACCTCACCACACTCCAACAGGGGACAAATGCGTTTTGGTGGTGCATGTCTGCCCTCATCATCACCACCACCACAACCACCACAACCACCACCTCCACAAGGCCGCCTGGGGCCAGCCTGGGGCTCTGTTCGGGCATTGGCCGCCATCCATGGCCTCCACTCAGCGGCGCCGGCGCCCTGGCAGATGGTGCGCAGTTAGAGGCCCCCGGATTTGCTGCTGATGCTCACCCACGCGCTGGGCCGCATCTAAACATGTATGTATGTACGTATGTATATCATCGTCAGTCTCATCGCCGCCTTGAGCCCCGCCATGCTGCTATTGCTGCTGCTATTACTGCTGCTGCCACTGCTGCCGCCGCCGCCGTTGCTGTTACTGCTGCTACGACTTACTTACTACTGCTGTTACTGCTACGCCCGGTTCATGCCTCCACTTCGCCGTATGTCCTCGCCATATGCCCTGTCCCCTCTCCCCCCATATTGCCCAGGTGCCCGCCATCTCGTCTTGCTTTTCCTTTGCATCTGATCATACTTGCCCTCATCTCTTCACTCCCACGCCCCCCGCACGCCCTGTCTCGACGCTCTGGCCCAGGCCTTCCGCTCCCCCAGTTGCTTCTATTGCAGACGTCTCAGAGCCTCACCCCGCCCATCACACATAGTCCGCACGACGCTTCACCCTTCCTGCCATCTGCCCATCGTCGTCTCTGCAATCTGCATGCCACGTCTGTCTCAGTCTTCTCGGCTCATCCGGCGTGCCCACTACTGGCTGAAGATATCCACCACTGACAGGCAGCCATCCAGCTAAGCTGACTGCCAACTCCGCGGTGCTGCGCCATCAGAGGCCTCCCACCCGAGCCTCACCGCACGGCTTCCAGCCACCCGCTTCCTGGCCCCGTTTGCATCTGCGCATACCGGCCAAGCAACCGTCGGGCCTTGCGCGACCATCCTCAGTCCCCATCTCGCCAGACCATACACGCCTGCCCGCTAGTCTACCACCTCTACGGGTCCCATAAGCACCAAACACTCATCCGCACTTGCTCACCAAAAATCTACCTCTGTCCTCTCGCCTTTTCCCTGCACTTACCTCTACAATCTGCACTCTTCGCTCTGGCCAATCCCGTCCTCTTCCGCTGCCTTAGGTCACTGGTTCGCCTCCCCCATATACTACTACTACTACTACTACTACTACTACCACTACTGCCTAGTATCGACTGTCGCCTACATCCACAGTCAAAGCGTTATACCTCTGCACGACCCCTTTGCTACCCGTACGGCAAGGCTGTTCACTCTCATCCATATTGGCCAGCGTTTGGTCCCTGTCTCTACTCCTTTGTTGATCATGTAAGTTGGCCCATCAGTCACATGGAATTGCGGGTCGCAATGTGCGACATTTCGTAACAAGTCACTCACTTTCATCTTAGCACCTGGCGTCTGCTCTGAATCAATTTCCATTGCTTCTGGGCCGCCACTCTTCGCTTCCTAGCTTCGCCGACGTAAAGTTGCTATTGTCTGACCTACCATCGGCCAAGAGCTGGCGTTCTAGTGTTTGATACCGGCGCTCAAAGTCATCCTGACTCCCGTATGAATCCCGCTCCTGAAGACACTGTTTGCCCGTCCCCAAGTAGACCGCCCCTATCACCTCTGCTACTGAAAAGGTTCACCAACATTGTCTCGAACCCTCCCATTCTCCGCACTAAAACACAAGACTTGCAAATTTTGCTACAAAATACCGACATCCACCAAACTGGCCTGCACTGTCTTTGCAAGCTATCAGGTGCGTGCTTCACTGCTTGCAGTAACTCAAACAGGGGCACGACTACAAGTCTTGGACCCCCTCTATCTGCTGCCTGCATCCTAAACCCCCACCGCCTAAGCTGCCTGCTAACATTAACGCAGCTTTCGCCTGACAGCGCCTTCAGGCCACATTTTGTGGGCACTGATAAGACATTTAAAACATTGCGCAGCGTGGGTCCTTGTGGCGGGACTCGGGCTGTGGGCGCTGTACAAAGTGCAAAATCACTGTCCATGTCAGGATACGACAAACCCCATCAATATGTGTATGGTGAGTGATCTTTACCTCATCTGACGAATATGGAAGGGGGGCACCTGCCAATGATGGGTCGGATGAACCCGGCACTTGGCCACGTGCGAACGATGAACATGTTTGACTGACCACCTCTACCCAGATGCCCAAAGCACCAGATCAAATCAGGCTGCAAACTACCCTGGCATCATACAGCCTGCATTCGGTCCCCAGTATACGGGTGCGTCCGCGGGACTGACCCATGAGCTTTCAAGTGCAGACATGGCCTACCTGCCTAGCTCAACCTACGAGTCACGCGGTGCGGCCAACCATCGCTCCGATCCAGCATTTATCGATGCAGCAGTTCGTCATCCCGCCTCCCTCACAGTTACTGAAACGGAAATCACCGAACAAATTACTCCTGCCCAAGGCACTGCTGGATCTACCGTAACGCTGCAACTCCGGACGAATTACGATCTCCAAGCACATCACTGCGCTTTCACACTCATGTTTGGCGACGAAAAGTGCGTCGGCGCACTCCAAAAGGTCGAGTACGACGACCATGACCAGTGGTACAACTATGTCCTCAACGTCGAGGTGCCCCCATTCCCGCTCACAAACACCTGGGATCCCACCATGATGTTGAAACTGCAGATCGAGGACAAGATGGGCCGCCCACGAATCGAAACAAACGCAGGCAAATTCACTTACACCGACATGTCGCCAAATCTGGCTTACCAGTCTTCGTCTGATTTCTCCAGAAAGCGAAGGTATTCCAATGAGCTCAACGACAATCAGAGTTACCCAACCACCGGCAACGTTGGAAAGCGCGCAAAGTTTACTCGATTTGCGAAACCATCTGCAGCTTCTGGGGCCTATTCTGGCGTGCAGGTTTCACCGCTCCAGAGCCATATTCCACTTTCTAGTCCGTACGGCTCGAGCAGTGGTTACGATTCATCCAAGCAAACAGCCTATGGTCAGGAATTCCCCCAGAAAGGCCTCTACGCAGTGCCATCAGGCATGAGTATGGGCCATGGTGATTACAAGTCGTCGCAAATGTCTCTAAATATGCAGTCTTATGGCTCCTACAGCTCTCCAGTGCATGGTGTCCGGTCCAGTGCCTCGACAGCGGCCCCTGTGCTTCCCTCGCCATCCGCAATCGCAGCGCCAGTTCTTGTTCGCGCAACACATCTTGCGCAAGCAAGCGGCAGCAGTTCCTCCACTCAGCCTTTCAACCCCTATTCCATGTATCAGTCAAAAGCGGTTCTCAAGATTGACGGAGATCTCGATAAGATGAGTGACGACTGGACTCTGGAAGAGCTTGATGCAAAGAGGCGGCTTGTCGAGTTCAAAAGGTCGCAGCAGGGCAGTACTATAACTACCTCCTTTGCACCCGTTACACTGGAGACCCGAAAGGCTCGTAGCATTTGCGTAAGCTGTATCTGGTGGGAAGAAAAGGACGAACACTTCATCACCAGTGTAGACACAATATATCTGCTCGAGCAGCTTGTCAACGTGCGCTTTACCGTCGAGGAGAAGAACCGCATTCGTCGTAATCTTGAAGGCTTCCGACCTCTGACTGTCTCCAAAGCAAAGCAGGACAGCGAGGATTTCTTCAAGGTGATCATGGGGTTTCCCAACCCCAAACCTCGCAATATCGAGAAGGATGTAAAGGTGTTCCCGTGGAAGATTCTCTCCCATGCACTAAAGAAGATAATAAGCAAATATGTATGTTTCCCCTCCAACGCACGGCTACAAGACTTGAAGCTAATAATTCCCAGTCTGCCAGTTATTCATCGACGGCTGGCGTCGGATCATTGCCCCTCGCATCAACATCAACATACGCTCCAAGCGCCGCGTCGCAGGCAACAATGGAGACCCATCGGAACGCGTCCACACAAGCAGTGACTGCATCGATTGCGTCAACAGTCTACAGCCCTCATATGCCATCTTCTAGTCTATCCCCCCACCAAAAGATGGCAGCAGGCCTCGACGGGTCAGCAGGACACAGCATGCCGGTTGCTCAAAGGACGCCTCCAGGGCAAAGCATGACTCAGTGGGGCGCTTCCACCCACCAGGTGTCGCCCTACCAAACAGTCCTCACACATGGGACGCGAGGGTCCTGGGATTACAGCTATCTCAATGCTTCAGGCGTTGCGGAGATGCCGTCTATTGCGCACGCCATGCAAATATCACGACCAGATGCGATCAGCGAGCTCAGCCACCTGCCCAACAACAGCGCCTACCAACAGTACGGCGAGAGCACAACGAGGGTGTAGAGAAGAAAAGATTGAGCGGCAAGGTAACGCAGAGTTACAGCCAGGACTACGCGTAGTGGGTCTAAGATTGACGTCGGGTGATCAGCCAATGTCCGCATGATCCATCGCAAACTAGCCAGATCGGGGCCCCGTCCCAATAGTCCTCCACACCACGCGTCGTCAGACTTCCCTCGCACAAGTCTGCCTACCTACGCAGGCTCATCATCTACTCTGGAATTTTTTTCTTACAATATTCCGCGACTTCATCAGGCGTTCAAGGACGGGTGGTTTTTGTTTTTCTCTGCATTTTCTCGACTTAGACGCATCATACCCCAGGATCAATGGCGTTTGCGGGCTCCTCTTTCTGCCCTTTTCCCCCATTCCCCATTTCTCCACCTATCTGCTAGGCAGCGGCGCACGCATACACAGCCTCCTTTGACTTTTGCGATTTACTGTTGATCATGCGGCCGGCGCGGTCTAGGCAAACGACACACCATCATGAACCGCATTTCCACAGCTGGGGGGAAACAAGTTTCCGACTTTTTGCATCACCGAGGCGTTTTTTTTTTCATTGTTGTTTTCGGTATTCCCAATCGTTTTAATACTTGTCTTTACTTCCCCAAATCCATCCATCATCACCACGTTTTCCCTGGTCCTCACCAACGACACATCCATCCCACTTTGTCTCATCATCACTTAGAACTGCATCATCATTTTTTACACGGCCCTTTTCGCAATATACACTTACTCCTACCCTTTCCTCAATCCAGGGAGGCTTGCATTAGACACAAGGCGCAAACGGGGGGTTGCGGGGCGGGCGGGATCTTCCTTTCCATACTATCTCTTGGCGCGAACCTAGCAACATCCTTGTCTAACTGACTATCGGCGTTGATCTTTCTACTATCGCACCTGGTTTTCTTATCTGAGATTCCCACCGGATTTTTTTTTGGGGGGGGGCGGGGGTGTACTGAGCCTGGTTCGAATATTGTCACACCACAACTGTAATGCCAACATCATGTATGCTTATACCCACCACACCGCTTTACAATTATTTGTTCTCCTTACTTTGAAAATACAACTCAATACTCTCGAGTTTGCCTCTGCATATGTTACTTCCCACGTGAGCAAAAATGCAAAAATACCTGAACTCGCATTCGATAACCGAACCCCGCGTAATTTCGTACCCACGCGTAAGTAAGCTCCGCCACTTTTTTACCACACCCTCCGTCTCCGGTCACTCAACTCGGCTCCCCGTTCACTCAAAACCCCGTTGTTCTGCCAAGAAAAATAATCGCCACTCACATGTGTGCCATACACATATGCATATACAAGAAGAATACATCATCACATGAGTACCGCGCGTAAGGTGTCAAGTGTTTGCCATCCTCAGTTGGCATAACCATGACGTGACCGAGAACGAAATGGAAGACGAAGAAGAAGAAGAAGAAGAAGAAGAAGAAGAACAGGGGTGTGTATATACACACCATCTACTACTAGTACAGTTTGCCCAAATCCAAAAAAATTAAATTAAATTAGCCTCCATAGTAAAAGTACTAGTAACACTAGTTCTCATTATTATTATTATTATTCGACACATGTTCCCCCTTTTTTTCCCTTATTTCCATGGAAAAAAAAACAGGATTAACTTACATAACTACATGGTTGAAGAAGTAGAATAGTTATAGATAGTAAGAACTATAGAAAAGTCATGTGACAATAGCGAACCTACCATATTTTTCCGTTGCTATAAATAAACAGATTTAGTAGGGTGATAAGAGCAAGGATCATGTGGGCGTGGGGGGGGGGGG